CAAATGGAAACAATATTAAATTTATCTTAGTTAATTAAACCATTGCTTATATAAAAACCTCAAAGTGCTTTGTGAAAGATCCTAGTTATTATTTCACATATAATACTCATTTATGATGAAGAATTGCCATGTTATGATCATCTATGATGAAGAATTGCCATTAAAACGTCTCTTTAAAGACACAAAACAGACAGAGGTTCAGACCTCAACTCAGATGTCTCTCTGTAGCCTTCTTAACTATTTCTATTCAACTAAAGCGCACAGTGACAGATGACAGCACTGGGAAACAAGATCTTTACCAGGAGAGAGAAGCTAGAAAAAAAATCTTAAGACTCAACTTCAGCAGTAAATTAAGTATGATGAAAGAAAAACCAAACATACCAGGGGCAGTTCAACAGAAAGAGACCCCAAACAGCACCGCTTGTGTTTTTTCAGCAATTAAAAATAAAATCATGAAGTTTTAGGGAGGAAAATTGCTATTGGTAAATATCTGCAAGAAGTGCATGCAAACAAGATATTTTCATATATTATGCATACTGAGCCTATAAACAAGAGCAAAGTTGCTCATCTAGATACTATACAGCATTTCAGTCTTGAACCAAGTTTTCTCAATGTTTCATGGACTAAAGTCCCATTCAGTTACATTTCAGAGATACTTTGGGGAAGAGGAAGATTTGTCTGGTTTATGTTTAGAGAAAGGCTGCACATCAGAAAACTTGTCCGCTTTATCCAATTGTACCAATGTGCGTGTTACCTCATAATCTTACATAACCTGGAACTTCTTCCCACTAACGCTGTCAGATCTCTTCAGACCACCAGCAGCACAACACTTCTATGAACACAGCCTGCTGCTCCGAAGGAACTCTCCCATACAGACAAGATCCCCAATTACCTCCCCCCGCCCCCCCCAGCCTCCACATTAAGTATCACTCAAAGCTTCCTCACATTGCACGATCCAGACCAAGCTGCCACAGAGCAGTTGGATGCAAAAACCGTTCCAGAAACTCTGCACCTGTCTCCTGGGTTGAATATTTTTGTCTGAAAATTTCGGATAAAAATTGCTTTATGCTTTCTAAATCCTTCTTAAAATTTATTATATAATGATAAGCAAACATTATTTGAAGACATCTAGATTTCCATTTCTTTCGTACTTTAATGTACGGGGAAATAGCGGGTCTGCTGGGCTGAGCAACAGTGCACCATACTGACACGAAATTTTAAACAACCAAGCAAGCATAATGAGTGCTTGTGACAAAAGCTGAGAACACCTGGGTGGCAGGGGAAGGTGGCAGAACAAAAAAAGAGAAAGGGGCGGACTGACAAGTGAGGAAGTACTTTCAAATATTTAATTATTCCAAAGCTTTTCACACATTACGTCTCAGAGATGTACTTTTAAGTCTTACTCATCTCCGTTACATACACTGGGTTTTGAACAACCGTTTTCCTTTGAAATAAATCACTCAAACTTTTGCACTTACACTTCCCATCTGAGTTTCCAAGGGTCTTCCAAGATACCAAATAGGCTGTTGAGTTCTATGTACGGTAACACATCCTCAGTAATCAGCACTCAGTTTTACAATTTATCACTGGCTTTCCTTGGGAGCAGGACCTGTTGATCTCAGATAGGAAATCTGGGGTTCCTCCAGTCACAAGGAGTCTAAAAGACCCTCTCATGCAATTTATACTCCTTTTCTAAGTCTTTTTATGCCACTGGTAGAAAAACTTCACTGAAATAAACATCAGATCCATCAGTAATATTTTAAATGTTGTAGGATCTGATTCTTAAAATGCCACTGTCACTGAAATGAAGAACAGCTGCTGTTCACTGCAGGGCTAAATACAGTTTGCTCTATTAATGAACATACATCTTTGAGTTCATAGGGAAAAAGAAGACTTTTTGCTACGTAAAATAATTTATAAAGACTTGCCTGGTGAAGCTCTCTGACATTTGTATTTCTCTGTGAGAACCTTTCAAGTCATCACTATGACAAATCATAACACAAGTACATTTCTAGACCCACGAGCTTGGACCAGTTTGTCAGTAATCATTGCCTAGCACACAAATTCTTCTCTTCAACATTAATGAGCATCACCTTCTATAAAACCACCTCAGATCTGACATTTGGAAAGTACTGTCAACCCACCAGTTGCGCAAAACACTCTGCTCACCAAGGCCCCTCTTCTTTTTGTTCTGTCCACTTCCAGGAAGTCTGAAAGATTCGATGCCACCTGTGATGAAGTGAATGTGTTTCCGAAGCTGCGCTTACCTCACAGCTCCATCCAGGCCTGCCCCACATCCATCCCCGTGGCACCCTGCAGAGGAATCAGAAGCAGCGGGTCTTACAAGTCCAGGGAACCGAGATGATCTCAGTTCCAAGAGCAGCAGGTTTGGCATCTCCCAGCAGCGCAGCACACCGGGCAGCAGGTACTGAGTTCACAGCTGCACCCCCTTAGCCCTGCCCAAGGCTCAGGCCACTCGCACCACCTCATCAGAGCATGGGGCAGGCTGTGCTCACCCTCTCAGCATCTCCCCCAGTGAGCCCATGAGATGATACCATTAGTTGTTAGTAGTGCAGAATCACCGTCACCTCAGGTAGACGGATGTGGTTCCCCCAGGAGAGATCTTAACTTTTTTTTATTTTGCTTTACTTAAAAAAGAAAAAAATAAAAAGGACTCCACCACACACCAGGGCGTATGTAGGGGGAGAAACAAAGAGAGGTAAAGAAAGCAGAGCTACCTCCAAATAATGATCAAATGCCTTCCCTTTCACATTTTCCCCAATTGTATAAAACATCCAAAGATGATCTCATGCAGGCTGATGCAGAGTGAACCCCACCTACTTCAGAACAGCCATAACTTAAACCACTGTTCCCAGGCTGAGAAAATTACCTTCTGTGTTTGTCAGCTTCAAAACAGATATTTGTCAAAGCAGAAGTTAGCCATTGTTAACATGCAGGTCAGAAGAATAAACAAGTCTCTTCGGCTATAACTGACAAAAGAGAGGGCAGCTCCCTAAAAAGACAGGAAAAATAGTGCACCTGAAGGATGAGCTCTTCTTTGAAGACACTGGGCTACAAAGGAATGACACAAACCATACAACATGGGGGAAGTGGCATTCAGCCTTCTTACCTGTTCCTGTCACTGCACATGGGGAGAAACCGCAGAATCAGTGACAGGTTGGAAAGGACCTCTGGAGGTCACCTTGTCCAACCCCCCTGCTCACGCAGGGATGTCCTGGAGAGTGCATGTTGGATGCAGCAGGAGATGAAAACAAGTAAAACTGACTTGATCTTCCTGCTTCTCACACAACTGACATATAAAAACTTTCAGAACACAGGCAACAGAAAAGTTACAAAAGCATAACCACAAATGAGTTGCACTCACATTTGTTTACTACTCCGCTCAAATCTAAAAACTAGATTTGATATACAGCAAGGCAGGCAGAACCAGTTTCAAGGTGAGATAAGCAGAGCAGTATCTAATGAACCACTACATAGGGCTCCACTACACTGGAACAAATCATTCAAAAAGTGACTGAATGGAGAGGGAAGGAACAATACTTTTGCCTCTGTGCCAGTACAATGCCTTCACCCAGTAATTCCCCCTGTGGGACTATCTGTTAAGTTAGATCTCACCCTGGGCAGAGATGGAATTAAAAAAGTAGGAAACGGGCATTGTAGGCAATAATGCTTGGGCACACGTGTGCCACAGATGTCAGAACCTCGGAGATTGAGGACAGTGCTACTTTCTCACTTAACCTTGTTTTTAAGTATTTGTATTTGAAGGTAGTTACATTTCCAATAATTCCTGCTTTTCTGTATGGAATGACTAATTGTATTTTTCAGAACATAAAATTTGGAGACCTCCACCAAATTTGGTTATTAGGATCAAAAGTCATTCTAAGGCAGGAAAAAAGCTAATATAAATAGCAGCATATATGGGTGTGTGTACTTACATACACTTTCCAAGATCTGCATTAGTCCCTTTGCCTTTCTGTTCTCCCCATTCCCTGATTATTGAGTAGGCATCTCTTCCACTGACGGCAGCCTGACCAACAACAGTCTCTTGCGAGAAGGCTACAAAAACTGCAAGGTACAAAACTGCACAAAAAATGTCCCCTGAAATCAGACACTAAAATGCCATACATACCTGCAGTCAGGCCAAGAAGAAAAGATGATTAGCCAAATTATAGTAAGGGGCTTTTGAAAATAGCACATTAATGCTATTTTTCATGTTAGAAGACAAATTTTATTGCAATTCAGCAAATGACCTACACCTGTAAAACTTTTGTATATCCAATTCACATTTAATGTCCAATGGATTAAAATGTCACAGAAAAATAAAAAAGGAAAACAGTACCCGGTTTTGTCATTATAATGTGAACTTCAATGTCCACCCTTAAAAAACCAAGCCAGTGATTTCCCCATGTAGTAAAATATATAGTTTATAAGGTATTGATGTTTTATCTTAGTTTAACAGCCAATCTCTAGGTATAAAGAACTACAAAGATGTGAAGTACGTGTACAATATCTTCAAGTATTTTCAAGTATCCTATAGTATCTTGCACTACGAACAAAAATCATTTGACAATATACAGAAAAAGTTAACTCTGAATAGTTTCACTGCAGAAATCTTAACATATTCATGAATTCAAAACACATCAAAAATACAGATCATTCAGCTAGTAGGTCCCATTTGAACAAATTCAAAAATACTCTTCAGAATGGAAAAAGTTGTGGAATAGTCTTCAGTTCACAAATATGTTTTCAGCTACAGAATGCCAGATGATTAAGTTTGTGGCAGGTAAAGACTTTTTTTTTGTATAAACTTATCATCATAGTATTTCATTACATTTAAATCAAGTTTTTATTAATTTGCGTTTTCTTTTTCTATAAAGTATCATTGTATCAACTCTGACAGCATTAATCAAAGAAGCATAAACAGTTGGTAGGCGAGACGGTTTTTTCCCTAAAAACACGTATCAGCCTGTAAACATGTCTGGCCAATTTAGCACTACATATTCAATGCATTATAAACTAGTTATATTTCATCATTATATTTCTCTGTACAGAATGCATGTGTGCTGTTAAAAAACCCCTATCTTTTCCCATTAACTGTTACCAAAAAAAGAACAAAAACCAAAAAAGCATAGCCACGTTAACCTGCACCTACCAAACCTGCTCCCTTATTTTAGAAAAGTAACAGGAAAAAAAGGTTACAATTGCATTATTCTATAGCTCATTTTTGAACAAAAAATGCAATACAAGTTTTTAAAAAGGGAGATGGATTTTACAAAGCTCTATTAAAGAGTAAAAGATGCTGACTACACCACTTGTTCTTATACAGAGCCATCCAGGTCAGCAGAATGACACGGAAGGAGCAAATGCTGGATCCTAACGTTATTCTGTGGGACTGACACTAGCTACATCAATGATGCTAGGTCAGTTTGTGGTAAACATTGAACAGTGGTAGAGATTATGGCTGTTACCACAGACTGAACTGTTCTTAGATATGCCAGCCAACTCTCTTCCCAAAACCCTAGCACAGGCTACCACAGAGCTGTATTTAATACCTCAGTCTTCCTTGGCTGCCTCCGGATTCAACAAAACCATTTTTTTCTGCTGCATTTCAGAACCTTCTACTGGTCCTTCAGTGGAGCAAATCATTCCAGACTTGCAAATCCACAGCAAAAAAGTGTTTGAATCCTGATAGGAGTAAGCACAGACCCCCTGTGAGAGAAGGAAGAAGGGTCTATCACAAAGCGGTCTTTCCTGTGAAAATAACGTTAACTGAGGAGCTGGGAAGATGACCTCTGCACCTTCTGTTTGCATCTGGACAGCGAGCACACAGGGTGCTGTCACTGATGGACATCTTCATGTGCCACCAGCCAAAGCAGCCACCACTTGGGAACCAGCAGATGCCAGCCTATGTCCATCGCAGGGATCACTGTCATTATCAGGCCAGAAAGATCCACACCAAAGCAAGCCATTAACCAATGGTATCATGCTCCACTATGTGAACTTGGGTAAAGAAAAAAACCCAAAAGAACCTTAATTCAGGGTTAATTACCTCATACAAGGTAAAATTAATCCATACTTAATACTATGAGATATGGTTTTAACAGGATCAACTGATCCGTTAAAGTCAAAATAATTAATCCAACTCTCCTTTCTTATATAGACATATTCCCTGTGAAATACACGGGCCTCACAAAGTCATCTTAAATACAGCCAAAAACACTGTAAAATTTTTTTTTTCTACTATTAATACAAAAACAAGTTATTTGGGGCAAGTGTATGAAGATTATCCCAACATATTAAGTTGAATACATTAAATTCTTAGAATAAAGTACATCTACTTTATCTTTTCCCTTCCAGAGAAACAAAACAGCAAAACCAAACCTGCACACACAAAACACTTCTGTGAAATGCTCCTGTAAGATCCAGACTGTGAAAGAAAGTTCACACCCAGCATGAGGCATGGCTTGGACACTGCCCTTGCATCTTTCTAATGCTATAGTGAAATCAAAAAAGAATCTTGCTCTGATAGTAGTGACAAAGGAACTTCTCAGTTTAATAATGAAATAAATAGGACAAAAGTAAAAATAGTCAAAAATTTAATATATATGCTATACTTATAAATTATGGAAATAAAACTATCACAAGATATGACTAAGCTGCAGATAAAGAAAAGGTGCTACAACATTGTATGAACTGAAAAACTTGGACTCTGCTTCTCAAAAGAGAGACAATACTGAGATAAGTTTATACAGTGGAGACCTCTTAAATACATAGGCCTGAATTTCTGTACAGTAATTTGTGACGCTGATAAATCAGCCTGTTCTTAAGTCACATACTCACTTCAAAGAGGTTTTTATCAGAGTATTCAAATGAACAGAGATGCCTTTAGGCATCTGCCAAGTTCCAGATCTCCAATAAATGAAGCTTTCAAAACGTTTGTGTTTTACTGTAAAAGTGGACTAAAGCTTTCTCTACTAAAAACAAAAGCATCCCAAATGAAGCAGACTGTGACAATAGGACCAAAGGCATATTCATTCAAGAGGAAAAGAAAAAACCTTACTACTCACTGTCTTTTCAGAAAAATTATGAAATCCTTATTATCTGTTAGTAAGGTATACCATTATTATTTCATGGGGGCACAAACATCTTTATTTAGTCATCTGGCATTTGGGGAACTCATGTCCCTCTTTATTAGCGGTTAAGAGAATTACCAGCAGCAACCATATAGCAAACTTCAAAAGGCTGGTTCAAGTGGAAACATTTTTGTGTTATGAACAATTATTCCAGGTTTTTCATTTAAGTGGGCTGCACTGTAAATTCTGAATTGCAACATTATACAGCCAGTTGTATCATAGAAGATTTTTTAAAAGACAAAACTTACAAAACACAATGATAGGTTAAATAAATAAAAAACATCAGTTAAAAAACACGCTTAATTTCTTCTGTGCAATTACGTACCAATATGAAAAATATTACTTTGATCTCTGCACATTTCACGGTTCAGTCTCCTGGATTTCACTAAAAATAATACTGACAACAAAAATAAAGGAAAAAACGACTTGTTGACAAATCAGTGCTTTGGAGTTATTAAAAAAAAAAAAAAGCACACATCAGATTTGTAGTTCCCTTGCAGCAAAACATGATTGAATACGTTAAAAATCAAACATTGGTAATAATGTTAATATATAAAATATTAGTTTAAAAACTATAGAATGACCTTCTCAGCAGAAATGGAGTGTATACATTGGGGTCTATGACATACAGCATATCTGACGGCAAGTTCACAGAATGCTGAAAGGCTCACTGCACATTTTCTATGGCAAGGAAATACTGCAGCTTTAAAATAAGCTGCACAATACTCATCTCTATCTCTTTCACATGAAAGTGTGTAAAAAGCAAATCAGCAAATAAACTCTAAAATAGATTTATACCAAAATCCTCTTTTTTACATTGAGTTTACAGCTTCCATCCATTTGCCTGTACTATTTTTGGAGTTTCCTTCAAGAAAAGTCAAAGTTGCATTTTAGGGCCATGAACAAGTTCACGATACAATGTACTGGCAGACAGAACATTTTGCATACTAATGAGATTCACTTCTTGTTGCCTTTTTTTTTGTTTTTTAAAAAAAAGATAGTTTTTCCTGTGGGACAAGAGGTCAAATATCGATTCCTTTGACAAGAGATGCCTCCAGCGTAATGTTGAACTCCTGTAAGGTCTGCAGCACTCGAATCAAAGAATTCACAAGAGTATGATCCTTAATCAGTGCTATGTCTTCATACATCTGGGCTGTAATCGGGCAGTCTGCAAGCAGGGCGATCCAGTGATGCAAAAGGTGGTCTCTGACAAAGTGGCAATTTGCAATTTGGAAATAAAAATAAATCCAAGTTAATTTCTCATTTTCACTGACGTGAGTTTTATTCTTTGCCTTCTAAACAGACCTACCATCTTCTCTGCATATTTTTAAGACAGGGAAGGGGGAGTAACTGTCTGTGGAACTTGTTTAAGTAGGAAGCATCAGTGAGACACACATTTCTAGGCTTTCCACCCCCCACATCAAAAGATATGGTTCCCAGAAGGCCTGGGAGTCCCAAGGAGGCCCGAAGTCGCTAGCCTGCTCCACTGCCTTTGTGGTCCCAGCTTCCCTCCTACCCGCCTCCTACAGTGAGTAGGTGGAGGGTGGGGAATTCACCCAGCTATTAACTGGAGAGGCCTCACTGATGGATGGTTTTCTGTTTCTATCTTCTGACCTTGATAGCGGTACATGAGAGGGAGGCTATTCACACCAGCCTACTACCTGTCTCTCTTCATTCAGCTGCTCAGCTCTTTGGGATACTCACTTTTGTATCTCAGACTTCCCACATTTCACATGCCTAAGAACTCAGTCAGGGCATGGTTCCCTTGATCCTACTTTAGTTATGTCAAAGAACTGTATAAGTAATAGTCAAACTGCACAACCCAGCAGTTGTGTGGCTTTATCTTACTAATATCCAACATCCTTCTCATTTTATTAAAATATCAGTAACAACAACAATAGAAGTTTCTCTATACCTGGCTCCAAGACACACCAGCATCTGAAACTTGCCATCCTTCCCAATATTTCTAGGGGTGTTGTTGATAGCAGTGATAAAGCGACAGAAATTCCTGGCCCTTGTCTGCCAGTTCTCTTCTGGGACCATCTCATTCTGCTCAAGGGTCTCATAGTATGTTTGTGCTTTTTCTTAAAAGAATGGTGAGAGATAATTAAGTTTTATCAGTGCATATAGTAGCTCTAAAATATCTGAAATATCATTCTCCTGTGCTTGGAATAAAATAATTAGGCACTATGACCTTCAAATTTAGATGATTAAATTTTATACCACCTCAGTATAATGCCTGCCCTGTAAGCATGCTTACAAATCCATAAGGCTACCTGACAGTCATATCAGACTGTTGGCAAATCAGCATGAGTGTCTGCATCATGGAGGGGACAGTTAAAAGTTGAAAGGACTAGACTCAAAGCTCATCCATGAATTTCCTGAATGATTACATTTAAGCATTGCTTTTTTTGTTTGATTTAGTCCTGTGTTCCCCATGTGTAAAATTGGGATTCCACTTCCTTCTCTCTGAACAGTGCTAAAGCGGTTCTCGTATCTGCTGAATTTTGAGATGTTATGGTAAAATGATGACATAAGAAGAAGTCATGTCAAAGTACCTATTCAAAACACAGAAAAACACTATTAAAAATAAACCCTTTTCTAAAAGGTGTTTGTGTACTCAGTTGGTTTATTCAGCTCTGTGTTAAAGGATCTAGACCACCGTGTGAAAAATGTACGCTTATTACCCTTTTATTACAACATCTAGTAAGTACCAACAGCACTATATCCATCCATTGTGCTTTGTAAGGTAACTCAACCTCTTAAAAATGTGATTTATTGCTTTTACTATGCTCAATTAAGAACAAGGTTACCATATGTCAATTCACCACCTTAGTTAAACAATTCTTCCTCACTAAGAAATTTCGTTTTACACTATTACTGCTAGAAGGACAAAGTCCAGTTACTGTATTAAGTACAGTGTCAACTTGGCAGAAGACAGATGTTCTTTCTCTTAACAGTACGAGGAGATAAGAGCTCTTATGGCAATTCAGCTGCTGAGATGCCTCCAAGAAGCACGCTGTTCACACCAGCTGAGACACAGTGGCAATGATAAGGAACACAAATATATTTCAAAGACACAGACTCTGGTATGTCTTCCACTTACCTAAAAAGTCCCAAATAAAGACGTTTTTGAAGAGTCTCGGTGATTTAAATCCATGCTGAAACACTTGCTCAAGAGCTGAAACAAGTCCACTTTCTCCACACAGCAACAGTGTCAGACTGCCTCTCTGCCAAGCACACACAGAAAGCACATGCACTTATTCTCTCAGTTTGGAAGTCTGGGACACAAAAGTGTTTCATGCATCTATTACTCAAACCGGTTTTAAAACAAAGAGATGCCCAAAATTACAGTCTACTATCAAACAGTGGCCCCCAAAAGGATGGCCCTGTTCTCACAAGTCCTAAGCATTCAAAAAATGTGTTGACCTCTCTAAGAATGAGGCTGAAGAAAGCAGTCTCAGGGCCTCGTTATCATCAAATGAAGATGTGAAAAGGCAAGATAAAGATCATGAGCAAGTTTTACCTATAATAATGGCCACTGTACAGAAAATTAAGAAAATATTTTCCCCTTTTACTAAGTAATAAAGATCACAGGTCCAGTGCCTCAGACTGCTTGTCAAAAAAAACCCAAAAGTCAGTGCAATTTTTAAACCTCAGAAAAAAAATCAAATTCTTCTTTATATCATGATGATAGATAATATTTTGCAAAACCAGTGCATGACCACTTGAGATTACTGTGTAAATGTGATCATCAACCAGAATTATACCAGATATTAACTTGCCATGCTATACTGAACTTAGAAAAGACAGGTGCAGAAGGAATGGGAGGACCTATTTGTAAAAAATTAATGACTTTCAAGAGATACCCATACAAGAGCCAGCACTGCCCTACACCACCCTGGTTCACAAGGGCTGGATTGTAATGGTTAAGTTCGTTTCAGGAAATAACTGCTGTGTCAGTGAAGATGATTACACGTATAATATAGAAGTGTCTTTGAGTCTCTGAGAACACTTCTGCTCCACTTGGGGGGGGTGGGGTGAGGGGGGGTGTGTGTTTGGGTGTGAATCTATTTTGCTTCTCTTGTTTTGTTTTTTTTTAAAGTGGCCCATGGGTTTTCATGTTTTAAGTAGCAAAGATAATGAAAAACAGGCATAAAAAAGCCTACTTAGTTCTCAGTGTAGATGTAAAATGTCAGTTAATCCAGAAAAAACTAAACAGGAGGCAACGCTCTTGACAGTGGTACAGGTAGAATCCTTGGCAGAATTTGACTAAACACAATTGCCAATACCAGAATGTTTACCTTTAAATTAACAGAATGCTTCAGTTAGCAGTAAAACTGAGGTATTTGAGGATATACTATTCCAACAGTGTAGACTCAGGATCTCATTTTTACTCCACTTAAGGTATTTGTAAAGAGATGGGCTATTCATCCAGTTTAATTATTTCTGTTATATTCTCCAATGCTTACTAGTAAGGGTTTTAAGACAGGAGTACCACTACACAGACAAGTCCTCCTCACCTCCTTCTCTGGCTTGTGGAAATGCTTCACAATACCATTGACAGCTTCACCAATAGCTTCTTGTATCTGACCAGTATTTAACTCTGCAAAATAAAAAAATATATCCAGTCACTCTGTAACAGCTTTATAAACTGTACCTGTATGAGGGATAAAGCATACCACAGAAAAAGAAGCATGAACCAGTAAAATTTATGATGTTAGTGAAAAGGTGCTGGACTGTCCGTAATAGAAATCCAAGTTTACTTTTCTTTACTGTGGAGGAAGTAGAAATGGAGATTGTCTGGTTTTATATCGAAGTTAACACTGTGATGTTTCAACACAACAACAGCTGGGAAAGAGCTTTACATGTTAGGTGCATGTTCAGACCAGGGCCCAAAGCTAAAAAGGAGCTGTGCTTTTATTAGGATGACCAGATCTGGGCATCCTGGAAACGTTTCCTGTGACAGTTTCACTGTAAACCCAGGCATGCTTGGGAGCAAAGTAGCCACCTGATTTATCAGGGATAAGACAATCCCAGAACAGTGATCTCAACAGAAAATTGAAGTCCATGAACAGAAACCACTAGCAAGCTTTTTCATCCATGGATGAGAGACAGGACAGCAAATTTCTACCTTCCTCCATATCATTCATTCCACAGATTAGGGACAAGAACACAGAAAACACCACTAGGGCAGCTAAGCACTGGACCAGGAGTCCAGAGACATCTTCCTTCCATCCTTGGAGACTTTCAAAACTTGAGTAGGTAGAATAGATTGCTCGGGATTTTAATTTGGAAGTTAGCCAGACTCTAAGCAGGGAGTTGGACTAAGGAAGTTTCACAGGTCCTCTTCAAGCTACAGTTCTAAAATACAAGAAAACTTAGAGTTCTGTTTGCAAGCAGCTCTCCTCAGGCAATAATGCAGAACATTACAAGACAAGCCATCCCCCACCACTGACTTGGCTTATTGTTTGGCGATATAGTGACAAATCTTCTGATCATGCTTGGTGACTGCTGCAAAGGAGGGGTTCGGCACTGCCGCTCATCAACCTCAGTGTGGGAAGTCAGCAACTCTCCCACCAGGATCCTCTCCAAGCTGCCATCATCCATTCCCTTCCCAAGCCACCTTCCACAAGGAAACCTAAGAACATAAAGAATATGTGTGGATCAAGCACTTCAACACAGATTCAATTCCATGCCAAAGACTTCCCGCTGCAGTTGTATAAACTCCAAATTCTGCTAGTGTAGTTATTAGAAACACTCCACTCATCTACCAACAAGTAACAGTCTGGGGTTTGGCTTGTGCCAGCAGAGGGAGCAAAAGTAAAACAGCTTCTCAGTTCCAAGTTTGTGCTAAATGTTGCGCTGGATGATCAGCAAAGCGGTGGCAGATTTTGTTTTGTATCCTGTATGTAGCACATGATTTGAAGGCTGCAGAGGAAAAGAGGTAGAAGGTATTTCTACACACCAGATGGGTGGCGAAATACACCTGTGCTTTCACTGAATGTGTTACATAGCAGGCCAGCCACAAAAAGAACCCAGCCCCCAAACATATACTTAAATGCCAAAACACCAATATATCTACTGAAATTGGGATATTAAATCAGACACTAGAAAACACCCGTGCTCATCTGCTCATTATCACTTTCTATGAACCAATGTTGACATCAGTTTAATCAGCTTAGTCGGAAAACTGAACAGCATCCAAAAATAGAATATTGCCTCTTAATTACCAACAAACTGGTTGGACTCACCCACCAATTTGTCATCAACATAAGCCTGACAGTTTCTCTAAACAAAGGACAGGGCATCAAACTATGCAGTACCTAACACAAACAAATTTAATTCTTACTGTAAATCTTGTTCCTTTACTTTCATTATGCAAACACAGATTTCTAACACTCAAACTCTTGTGTTCAGAGGTCTCTCTGTAACACCTAGAGCATTCAGCCTTACTATAAAATACCACCTTGTATTTGGTAAGCAGCCAGCTCTAACTTGCTATTTCAGACAGATTATTTTGAAGATGCGCATGAGTCAACTCATCTCCTCCACCAATGTTTTGAGGCTGGACACAAGCACCTGCAAACTGAAAACTCTGTTTAATTCTGTAAGAATCATGACTTGTTTAATGCCAGAAGCCAAATGATCTTTCTATGCCTTCAGGCAGTGGCAGCTGTAGACACGGAGTCCCAGGAGGTAAGACCTTTCTAATCAAACAAGCCCTACTGTGCCAGCTCCCTGCAGAGATTCTACTTACCCAACATGAAATGTCAGGATGATACTTACTTGTAAGTATGCCCTGTTATTTCATTTCTGACCATAACATATTCCACCAGCCACTTGGCATACAGCCCTGAATTATCATGTCCTATTTGCACTGTGGTCAGTTTTCCCAAGTTCTGGCACTGCAAATTAAACAAAGAATTTGTCAGAGTAAACTGAAAGAAAGCAGCATGTTGGAGGAGCAAACTTAGAGAACATGCTCAGAGGGGGAATCAAATGTGGTTCTCCTTTTCTGACTTCATGATTGATTCTGGGCTTTTTAAGGGTAGGTTGCTTTATTTGGTTTTGTTTGCTTCGTTTTGTTAAATACTATTTTGATCAGCAGCGAGAACATCAGTTGAACTAGATTTTTCAATTAAATTTTACCCAATGTATGCGCACACACACAAAAATCAGAGCAGAATCACTTCCTTGTTTCCAGTAGAACATAAGACACCTCCCACCGTTACAGCACAAAGCTGTAACATAAAGACACTCTTTGTCCATCCTTGCACTAAGGATTTGTCAAGTCATTTCGCTCTGCATGCTATTAAAGATAAATTACATTTTCTACATCCAGTCAGTCACAGGAAGTTTGTGACAAACCACACAGACTAAGGACATGAAGTGTATAGCAAGATGGTACAGCAAGGGGAGAATTTACAACGGAACAAACAGAACATCCAAAGCATTTTTTTGTATGAAGCAGTACAAACCTCAAAAGTCATTTCTAATATATTCCTGGGAATCTGCAGGACTCCTGTTTCACCCAGTTCTCCAGAGATACAGATCCAAGGATTGGCTGTAAACATCGAGCCGCCAAGTTTCTTGCTAGGAACAATCAATATATGGTATGGTATCACTGCAAACACAAGAAGAAATAACACTTCAAAAATAAGGAAGGATAATTGTGTAACCTCTTTAAGGAAGAGGGGGGAAAAAATAAGTCATAAAATAATACTGCACTACCATGAAATGTGAAAACAACTTCAGAGCTCCTATTTAATCATGCTAACACCTGCACACTAAGCACTGACTGACAATCAAGAAGTGTACACATAGCAGTTTATAAGAAGCAGAGCTGATAGCAAAACACTGTCAAGTGGATGGAATAGTGCCTCGATACAGGTATAATTACGAACCAAAGTCTTTGTTTGCAGGGCTTGCTTGCAGCAGCATTCACTACTGTGGCTGAACAAATTCAGTGAAAATATATTATAAGGCTGTCAGTTTCTCTGTACCACATTGCTCTTAGCTATGCTAACTGTAAGATTTCTTGATTTAAAAGAAAAAAAAATCTTCCCCTCTAACTGACAACACACATGCTCAAATGCTTTCTGGTCCCCTGGTTTACTGGAGATTAATTCAACAGAGTATCACCTGAGTTATAGCCCCTCTCTGACTCAGGAGGCATGTGCTCCTGAGGAAATGCATGTGCTCTTCAATTGCTTAGCATCTCATGCACAGCCCCCTATTAACCAAACTTCTATAACAAAATCCAATTATCTGAATGGTCATTGTGTTTCTTGGCGATCTGCCCCTCTTTTATAGTGCATAAATGGATTACAGTTAGGGCTTTTCAGCTGAGGCATTTAATACCTTTCTCCCTCAAAGTCTCTTCAGCTGTCAGTGCCCTCAAGAAAGCATTTGGTGGTTGGATATTCTTAAAAGCTTGATGCTCTAGCATTTAAGAATGAATTAAAATGTTTCCCTTTTTATTTTCTGTGCTGATAGTCTTAAACTAAGTGACAATTTAACTGCATCTAGCAGACCAGATTTTAGTGTTGTGCAGAACTTGCCCACAAGACCAAAACCTATTTTGCTTAAACATCCGCTTGCCTTGTTTTTCATACACACAAATACAATCATAACATACCATTAAGGGCAGCTTCTACCATGGGGCCAGAGGGATTCTTTCACACACCCTCACCCCTATTTCATAAGCCTTGCTGAAGTCTTTCCTTATTCTGCCTTACAAGTGAGGTCCCGTGGCAGCAGGCACATAAATGCATGAGAATTCTGCAACACATTTAAGCATCAGTAACATCAGGGCAAAAGTTTCTCTAGGGCTTTTTTTTTTTTTTTTTTTTTTTTTTTTTAAAAAAAAAAAAAAAAAAAAAAAAAAGACAAGAGTATTTTAATGTGTTGCAGAATTCTGATGCAGCCCTCAAGGGCATTTCATTGTTATCCCAAGCTCACAGACAGGCATGCAGCAAAGTAGGCTGAGCATGAAAAAGGGAAAGGTTTTTTTGTTTTCTTTTTAATTCCTAGCATGTGTTAATGTTCTTACCTTGACAACGAACAATCCATACTGCTCTTGTTTAGTATGATGCAAACAAGCCCACCACAAAATTTTCTGTGGAGAACTATCCCCCAACTAAAAGGATTAAAGCTGCATATTTTACCAAGTTAGATATGAAAGCCTTTAGTGACAAAAGACACTACCCTCCATCAGAAAGGATCATAGAAATGTTGTTACAGCATACACAGATGGATACCAGGAAGAAAGCAGAACAATTACATTAAGGCATGTTGCTCAGAGATGTTTACAATTCTGGATGAGGACTCAACCAAATCTGGAAATCAGAGTTCCAGGAAAAGCAAATACTTACAGATTGTTGTGAAAACATTGGTAAAGCAAAAGTAATCAACAGCATTGAATGACAGGAGATGATATAGGAATTGTTCTTTCTCATCATCACAGCGGAGGAACGCATAACGCTTGTAGAGTTTTCTGACAAAGTAAAACAAATAATCTGTCATAGTAACAAGATGCTTTCAGTGAAATGTTTTCTATTGTGCATATTTATTAGGTAAACTATGAGGAATATGCAAGCTATTACAAATGACAAGTGATACTGGTAGAGCCAAAAGTATTTAACGTGCCAAGATATGTCGACACTCTGCAAGCCTGAAGTCTCCCGATTGCATCAGTCCAATACTTCACATTATTTACCCCCTTTTGAAAGTAAGACGTGACGTGGTCTAAGGGTCTTCTCCCACCCAAAAATACCCCAAAAGATGGAAAAAGAAATTTTGTATTTTCTTGGAAAAAAAACCTCTGACTTCCTCTGGTCATATAAAATGACAGAACTGAAGTAAAGAGACTCCTCATAAGTGACTTCCAAGCAGATGGTGCCATGGGAGAGTCCTCCAGCACATGACATAAGACAGAAGACTGTTTTAAAAGGACATTAGAGCAAACAGTGGGGCTATCTGCTTGTATTGGGTTATGGGTGATAACCCAGGTCCTACAACAACTCACACACTAAGCTAGGGAATAGCTTCAGTGTTGACATTACTCAGCTCCTGAAATAACCAAAATCATAGGCATGCAAAGGTGGCCTAAAGTCCTACTGTTCCCTTTTACTGGGTTGCAAACTCTTTGCTAGGACTGCAGTAACACACAGAACTGTGACTCCTTTTAAAGTGGAAATATCAAAAGATGTAGCTCAGTAGCCTTCTCTCATTAGTGGAAAGACTAACATCTGTGTAGAAGAATGCACTGTAACCAGAAGCAATCTTATATACTTACTGGAATTACTCAAACACATTAGAGAATATAATACTGCAAGACTTGCAACTGAGAAACCTTTGAAAGAATTTATACCCTCAACCTTTTCAAGTGCAAATCTGGACTGGAAAATATTCTTAAAGTTACTCCCTTGTATGTAGCAATCACCACTACTTTTGTTAATTATGCAACCAATAAGTAATACCAGTGTTGGTGCACAATCATAAAAGAAGAGCATGCCAAAATACATCAAAATCCAACTGACACTAGAGGAATATTCAAAACCATCACAAATGTATGAATTAGGTATTAGACACGCTGACACAGCCATGGATAGACAGGTTGTTCCTGCCAGGGGTCATCCTGACAACTCCCTTCAATTTCAGATATCAATTACAAAAAAGTAAGTGACTCACAAGCCAGAAATCTGCAAAACAAATCAATGAGGATTAACACACACACATATTCTCACATAACAAACATAACACTAGAGACTGACAGGAAATGTTCAATGGAAATAAAGATCCTGAGCCTTAAATCAACATAACCTGGCTGTGGCCACAGGAGTAGCAAACCCACAAAGGTCTCACAGGTGACTGTGTCCATGTTTCATTTGAACAATATGAACCACATGTTTAGACAGCCTGTCCACAAGGGTATGTGCTGTCCTGCCCACTCTAAGTGTAAGATTTCTCACTTTACTTGTGCACATAAAGGTCTCAGGGGAGCAAAGCTATGTGATTTCCTTCTGTTCCCTAACTCTAGTCCCTTTGCAGACTAGAAAGAGACCATACATGTTTCACTTTTCTTATATTTTTTAGCAAATGCTAAGTGAAGTGAGTGGGTTAAATTCAAATATCTAACAGTTGCTTCAAAAGAGAACACCACACAATCACATTAACTGCAAAATGGCAGAAGTTGCACAATTATTTCTAGTACCTCACTGAACTTGGCGGTGTTCCTCTAAAAACAAATGGAGCACACTTCAAATCCATGCTGCCTAGAACACCGTTCTTTTAGAAGGATACCTAAACATGCAGCACAAAGCACAAGGGATTATGAAAAATTTATGTCATTCCTATGCAAATTGTTTCTTTGCTTGCCACTTTGATATTAAACATATTTTTGCTGCTGTGTCACTCTGTTCTAGAGAATGAGAATCTGTCTGATAGACCAACAGTACACTGGCCAGTGTTAAGAGTTGGGTTTTTTTCCTTCTCTTTTGGGGGGGACATGGAGAGTGTGGTCATGTGTGGAAAGTCCTCTCACAGGGCTTGTCCTGCATGGGACAAGCACTGCCAAACTGAACGTGATCTGGACTGTTGACTTCACTGGGAGGCTTAACCTTAATTTAGATACAGCCAGATTTATTAGCTGTCTTCACTTTGTCCTTCAGCTTTGCCTTGTTTGCTGTTGGAAGGCCACACATTCATCAGGAAGTCCAACTTAATTCAATACAAGGCAAACCTCAAATAATTAACAGTTGGGCTTTGGGAGGATTGGGGGAAGACACTTATTGGAAGGTGGTGTTAGTGGGAGGAGAGAAAAGGAAGAGTAGACAGAATAGGTTAAGCTGTCTCCAGAAAGAAGTCTTCAATTAAAGCTAATGATGATTACTAGGGCCCATACATGAAAACTTTTCATTTCCACACAGTGAACAGTATATCCAACCTTATTAACAATACATTTTTTTCCTGCAGAGATTACACTAAATAAACCTCAAATTGCTAGTCCTGAAACAATTAGTATTACATATGGCCTGTACCCCAATCTGGGCAACTACTTACAAAAGAATTATTTATGTTTACAGAGATAATATAGTGCACATGTGTTCTGGACATCACCAAATAGGTCCTTGTGCTGAGCACTTCTTTTGCCTTTGAAGATGTGTACTTATGAGAAGCACTAGCACAGAGTACTTTGACAGAGTTTAAGCCAGCAGTATTTGGAACTCTCTACCAGTTCAAGCCTTCAGTTTTCACTCACATCCCCCTCCCCCTCATACTTTATATACTTCTCCCATTTTCTTCCTATAGTACAATTATTCTTTAAAGACAGTGTTTTGGGTCTCAATGGTTGGAATTTCTGTATATGAAGTCATAAAAAAATTAACAAAGAATTGAAAATTACATACTTTGAAATGTTTAGGAGAAGTAATAAAAACAAAAAATGGATCATAATAGCAAGTATTTGTCTATTACAAAAGCAATTCACCTTATATGCTTAAGTAGGCTATAAATGCAAAACCTTTACTGTGTAGGAGAGAACAAAGCTGAGACACTGTCAGCTTGATCTAGAGATGTGGACAATCGTGCTCTGAAAGATTTAGATGGAAGATTTCACAAGATTACCAGATCTCATCTTGATCTTATTGCCTCAAAATGAGATGCAAGGACTAATCATCACAGCCATCCTAGTCACCTTCAAGGTATCCTGTATACCACCACTCATCTTTCTTAAAAATTAACTTCTGGTGTGGTTTATCTACATTATTTTACACGGTATTGAAAGGAGTTACATGAATGTCCAGGATTTGAAGACAGAAGTGAGAAGCTAAGGAACAGACACTCTGAGACACACTAAGCAGAACCACAGAAGCACATCTAAATGTGCCTTTACTTCATACTCTTCATATGGTGACAGAGCTGCAACAGGACCGAAGCTGCACTTTGCCATGCATTGCAAAAACACACAAACAATCCAAGGAAAACAAAATATCCCACAGTTAAAGAAAGGGAGTCAATACAAAAAGCTTGACTCAGCAAAGTAATGGCATTTGAACTTACACCCCATTTCATTTCATCCCTAGCAGTTTTTGAAGATTTCACCTCAAAGTCGCAGTCTATACAGACAGAACTGATTCTGTATCTGAAGAACCCCAGCACTGAATTATAATTCCCAAGTAAGAGCTCATACACAGTACAGAGATACACTTGGAAGGCTATTTTGTTCTATTCCTTTTGCACACTGCTAAGCAGATGGAAGAACAGGCACTTCTGAGGTTTTAAAGTCAAACAACTAAACAGGTTTAATTTTTTTTTTAAAGCTTTGCCCAAGATAAACCACCTTACTTTGTGAGTTCATGATCTGAAAGCAGCTGTTTTAGATGCCTAGAGAGCAACTTCTTTTCCATAGAGAGACGAACCCAGGCTCTGGCCTTGCCAACATCTGTTTTGATCTCACTAATGTTCTGGATATGCCTGGGAGGGGAAAAAAAAAAAAAAAAAAAAAAAGAGACACGGCCCAATATTTTCAGAGTGTGACAGCTCTTTTGAACCAAGCTAGGCTGAAGAAGTAATTTTGTCAAGAATGCAAAATATCAGGCAAACTACTGGAAAGAGACACGATCACCTTAATATTCAGCGCTATCTAAATTCCTTGCATATCTAGCTCAAAAAGAATAAGAGCCTGAAAAGGAAATATCTGCAATGCAGTGCCCTATTTACAAAATTCTAAACCAGTCCCATTGCCTCACATGATTTAAGAATCATTTTGGACCTTATCACTGCAATATTTATGGCTGAGTGCTTTGGAAAATTAAATACTGTCTTTGCATGCTCAGTAGTAGCCTTTCTTGCATACAGGACACAAATGGTACATTGTAGAAGGACAAGTATGCTCCCTGAAAATCCTCAATTCACTCCTCCCTACTGAAAAAATTAGATGTTGGTAAGGAAAAAGCAGGGGAAAAAAATCTTTTCAAATTCAATTCAGACGTTCTGCATTTTTTTTTGGATGTACTGAAAAGAAGGCATTGAGCAGAAGTTATAGTTTTATTCACCCTACAGTACTCAATGTTAGATAAACCCATTCTTTAGATCAAAAAAGTTCTTTAAACTTCACCAAGAAGCAACAATGAGCTCAGAGCTACGCAACTAACTTGGCAATGACTGGGAAAATACATACACTACCACCCACATCTCTGTGAAAATAAAACAATACAGAATACTTTAAAAAGATTAAAACTGTGTCAGGGTATTTCTATAAGCTAGTAGCTGTGCCAGTACAAAAGCTCCTCAGTATGAAACATGTTTTTGTAAAGGTCAGTGAAAATGTTGCACTACATACTTTTAAAAAGTTCATCAGGTTCCTTCCCCACACCCCTCTCCTGCTGTATGAAACAGACATTTCTGTATGGTACACATTATAGAGAAACAAGTATGCAAATCTCATGGATTTTCTGTGGTGGTTTTAATAGCTTAAACTCACCTCATATCCTGGATGAGAGAGATTCTAAGAGGTGACATGGCTGGACTGCTATCAGACTTTCTCCTTTCTGAATCAAGAAGTATTCCTAGATTCAGAAGAACAGAATTTCTTGTTAGTAGAAATCCATCTAAAGATTTTAAAATCTATAAAAAAAAAGAAGGTGAATTAACACCAACCTGCACTCTTCCTTTACTGGTAATTCACTGCTTTGTGAAGACATATTTGCACTTCAAATGACATAAAAATCTAACATGCTACACAGATGGTTATGCAGATCAGCACACACTGAGCATTAACACATTAATGAGCTTAAGATTCGGCTGAAATTGGTACATCAAATGGCTTAAGTCATATACCACTCAAGTATTATTTCCTAAAGAGTACCCCATCTTCTTTCTGTGTAGTAAAATTGACTGGCACAGTTCACACCAGAAAAGACTGCTCAACATGTTTTACTTAGTACAGCACACATCATATGCTTAACTAATCTACCACTTTGCACACTCCTCTGACAGTACTACTTTTAAAAATAGTACATTTTGGGGTCTTTAAGCAATATTATTACTCATCTTTCAAATTCCACTCTGGAATCAAGTTGTATATTGAATACAGTCCCTGCCCTCAACCCCAAATTAGAAAGTACAAAACTGATTGTAACTTCAGTCTGATATGTAAATCACTATGAACCAAATCTTTGGTTTTGATTGCTTACAGGACATCGTGCATGTTAATAATGCTCAGCTCTGTCTACAGCAACTCTAAAAAAAAAAAAAAAAAAAAGTTATACACTATGCCCTCATCTGAAACAAGTACTGTTTAAAAATTACAATAACCTTAGAAACTGATTATCAGTGGATGTTATGTACAATATTAATTATACTGCAACACTTGATATAACAAAAATGAAAATATGTTTCTTCGGTATTTTATGTATTTTTTTAAATGTCTTTTTCTTTTAAACAATAAGCTTACTGTTCAGTTGTTTTTCAAGACAGAATGTAAAACTTCAGGACGTTCAGTACAATTTTATATGCTTGTACTTGTTTTCCACCTCTACCCATAACATATGCTTTGGTGGTCATGCAGTGACTAGGTGTCATTTGAAGGATGGTATATCAAAGCAATCCATTTTAAAGCCTGTCTTTGAAACATCATATATTGCCCAACAAACCCAAACAAGTTTATTTTTCACAAAATATATTGAGACAATATAACAGGTCCATATTAATTCTGTAGCAGACAGAATACTTGATTCAGTTATACTGACTGAAGGATATTTCCAAGGAAACAATCTCTGCATGGTGCAAATCTGCAGGCTGCTCTTATACATATTTTATCATCTTCTAGCAGAAGCCAATCTTACCTGAGGTACTGAAGCTGCCTGATGTAGTTTTTCTCTGTCTGTTTTCTAAATAATGTAACAGATGAGACCACAAAGCAGACTTTCCCTAAAATTTAAAAAAAAAAAAGCAATTACTATCAGCTGAATTTAAAAAAAAATAAAATAGTTCAAATGATCACTGGAAGTATCAACCATAACAAAAACTTGTTTTAAATATGTTTCTCCCTATAAAGTCATTGGTAAAACTCAAAAATGAGACACAAGTTGGAGGTGCTCAGGAGCTGTAAAGAGGTTGAGAAAGAAAAGCAGGAGTCAAGCTATGGCGATCTAATGATTCTGGTAACAGGAAAAAGGCAATTGAACTTCATTCCTCACAGTTCATAAACATAACAAGAAAACATTTAAAGGCTTCTAAAACACTATGTGCAGTAGAGTTCTAATTCTGAGGCTGTAACCTGTACTATGTGTCTTTCCCTCCCTGCCTCTTCAGCAGTGAAATGATGAGAGATACAGAGCCAGCCTGAGCAAACCATCTTACACGCAGAGCAAGTCTTATGCACCTGTACCCTTCGGGGTAATTCAGGGCTACAGGTCATGCTGTCAGTTTTTAGAACCTCAAAAGATCCCCCTCAATTTTATCAGGCAAAGGACTTGGATAATCACACAGTAAGACAACCCAAAACATGAGCAGGACAATGAAAGCTTATCAACGAGAACACTCCACCACCACCCATTATAAAACCAACTTGTGTTAAAATTTGGAATGCAGTATTTAGGCCAAGATAAATCCTTCAAATGATGTTAAAAGGTGCACCTTTCTCATTGCATTGCTTTCTTAAACCTCTGGTGCCTTAAAGCAGAGTGTGAGGGAATCTTTCGCTGGCAAACTAAAAAGATTTTTAGATCCATCCTAAAATATTCTGCATGGTAAACCAAAACCTTGTAAAGCCACAGAAAGGCAGCAGTAATTGAAGAGGGGCTCTGCAGCACATTAACTGGAATCACTTACAGAGAAAATTAGTTAGTATTACTACATCTTCCTAAATTATTGTAAAGATTTAGCAATTCTGCATTTCAGAAAAGCAGTCGTATTATAAGCCATATTTTTATTTACAACTTTGTGCAGAAAGAAACCATAACACAACAGTTGTCAATTCAGCACTATCAATGTCATCTAAAATCATGTGTCTTCCTCAAGATGTAGTAACTATGGTTCAACTCTGAAATATTTTTTTAGAAACCTATCTTTAAAAAAAATAAATCTCTAAACACTTTAATCCTATAGCTCACTATAGTTGACCAAAGAACTAATGACCATGAGGGATTATTGCAGAAGTGGTATGCCTCCAGAATATAAAGCCTAGAGTGTCTGCAACATCTGTGTTGATATTAAAAACATGTATTCAGTGGTGAAGATATAAAAAAAATCCAGAGAAGCTCAATGCCTCATGTGTGTACCTGACAGATCCAACATGAAAAGCCAAAATTGCAAGTCATATAAAAACATAAAAAGAAAGCATGAAAAATATCAACCAGAGAACAGTTACATCCAAAACGGCATTTCTCTCGATAAACACACACATGCACACAGTCTGGTGTTCAGCAACTAGCTGTCATGGCAAGGAAAACTGCAACAGATCACATAAAGCAGCAAACAAAGGATCCTGCAGCAAATAGATGTCAACAACCATGATGAATGTAAGAATTCAGGCAGTACATATCTGCCCAATTCCTTTACCATCATATTACTCTCCTTTAACTCCACCAAATAGCAATGATGATGCAAGCTGCAATCTCTAAGGGAAAGGAAGACAGCCTAAGGAAAGCAGTAGGACAGAGAACAGGCAAGGGAATAACCAAGGCCTTCTGAAAGTTCAGACTACTTCAGTCATTAGACCCTACATCCAACAACTTTCCAGCATTGCTCTGGGCAAAGGAAGGTGTGGATTCACTGCACATAGAAGAATCAGTAGGTAGCAAACACAGGTCTATCAGGGTTCATCAGCAGGGAAGAGGTAAAGCAGGGATTGGTGGAAGGAAAGCCATCCTCATTACTATGGTCAATTGAGAAAGAAGAGTCTTCCTTGGGTCATTATTGAAAAATACCATAAAATCAATGTATAAAACAGCAGACTTTTGCATATTTAATAAAGGCCAGAGCACACAGAGAATTGGTGGGGCTTTTTTTTCTTTTTTTAAACTGTAGATCATAATATGAGATGCACTGCACTTCCTCCATCAGGCCTCTATTATATTCCACCACTCTATTTATTCCACCATTCAGCACTGTTTGCCAACATCTGCAATCAATCCAAAGCATTAACCTTATGTAGGGTTGGCCGTCTGGTGCTCTGAAAGGCCCAAATCTGAGTTGAAGCAGAGTATACTGATGCTCTGTCTTCTAAGACGAAAGCAGTACAGCTTCTATCCTAAGTGATATACAAGAGGGAAGGGAGAGAATCACATGATAAATCTTCACATAGAGAACTGCTTGGGTGCTGGGAACAGAGATACTGAATTACTGTTATCTGGATTACATACATTTATTCTGCACATTCTTTTAATAAAGTTATCTTAACTGTCCTTGCTATTCCTTTGTACAAAGAAAGAGGAAAGGATAAAGGCCTTCCAAACTCCATCTAGTCCCACAAGTGACTCCAAACAGAGAAGCACCACAAACAATTATTAATTTCATACAAAACCCAACACCTCTAACTAGCGATCTTGTAAATATCACTTAACCATCCTTACATCATTCAGGAAGAACCAAAATAGCAAGGGTTTTACTCTACATTATCCTTCAAGAAAACAAATTCCCCATACCATATCCCATTGACAGCACATGTAGCATATTGCCTTACAGCCTATGCAACTTCATTAATCAAAGTACTAAGAATACAGAAATAGTTTTATTTACCATCCTATTACAAAAAAAAAAAAAACAGGTTAAATGAAAAGAAAATCTTCCAAGAAGACATCTGTGGAACACATCTGCATGTGCACTTGCACATACTTCAGAGCAAAAAGTGGAGACAGACAAGTGAGCAGTAACTGACATAAAAAAGGCTGGGGCACGGGGTGTGGACACAAGTATTTTAACATATCTATGTACACACAAAAGGTATCCTCTGAAAGTCGAGGGAAGAAGAGTATAACATGACTTAAGGCAAGTGCACTCTGCAACATACAGGAATATTTGTTCCTCACCTGTTTGACTTGCAGACCGTGGCTCCATATCCTTTCTAAGAGGTCACACAGACTGGCTATCAGGGTATTCTCTTCTACGCCTGTGATATTCACTTCACCATGACCTAGCTCCACAGCTTCTCGACCCATTTTTTCAACCAACATCCTCTTGGTCTCAAAAAGAACAAGGCAAAAGAGAGTTAATTCTTTCCTCAGGAACTTCCAAAAATCACTTACCACTTTTTAAATAATCAACAAGGAAGCACATGAGAGCAAAGATTTGGCAGAAAATCTGGGTGTACACAGTATTTCTGAAATTAGTGCAGGACTGCATTTGTTTTATCCCTGTTTTTCAAGCCATGGCAGCACCAGTGTTGATCACTTCAGAGCCCCATCCATCCATCTTTCTAACAAGGGGCTTGCAAACAGGCATATAAGCCTCCACAGAGTAACCCCAACAGAGGGAACAGCAGGCCACACACTGACAAGCTCAAAGCCTAGCAGCAAGGCCCTACAACACAGGACTTGGGTGTTTCTGAAGCCTGGTGAGTGCTGAACCGGGAGCAGTATGCTGTATCTGCCTCCTCCCAGGGGAGGTGAATGTGCACAAGTGCTGTGAGACCCTGTTCTGTCAGAAGGGCATGTGCACTTAAACCAAATCCATTCTGGAGTGCATCTCTCCAGTTTCACGATGAGCCACATTCTCCTAAATCGTGCACAATTTCATACTGAACAACAATGCTCTCAACACCTCTTGAAGTACAGTCTCCCAGCCACAATATATTCATCATATAGCTATTTGGAAGGAAAAATTACTTAATGAATCATTTCTGCTTATTTCTTACATATTTTTTCATCTTGTTGCTATTCTAGAGTAGCTCTCAAATGAGTAGTACTCCCTTAGGCAGAGTCTTAGTTGAGATGAACTCCAAGTTAAGTCTCTAGCTTCTGCTCCTCCTCACCTGCCCTGATAATTTCTCTCTCTGCTAACAGCATGCTCACTACATTCACTAGAGTTGCATTCCCACAGTGAAAGAGCCAAGTCTATCTTCAAGGATTTTCACCATCGTATGTCTCTAAGTGAAGAGGATTATTTGGACAGTTTCATACATACAGAAAACTGAAATAAGAAGTAGGTGCACATATTAAACATGGTTTTACAGAAGTTGTATACAACTGCTATATTACCTCCCCGACTTCAGGCAAGAATGTGTCTATTTGGTAATTATCCTCTTTACTGTGTTTATATAATATAAACATCAGCGTTTAATTCAAATTAATATATTGTCAAATATATACTGGTAAAGCATGTCTACAAACTAATGCCAAATTTCTTTAAGTGCTTGAAAACTTACATTTCAGTAGTTTGTTAACCCACTTCCTTTAGTTACAAGAAAAGTTCTTGCATCTTCACCACAACCTCCTCTTTTGGAATATTCATTCTTGTTGCAATAGTATAGTCTCATTAGTGATAACTGAAATATGCCACAATAGACATGGGCAGCAGAATGATAAAGACCTATCAGAATATTCGCCTTCTTTCTATCACTTTATAATAAATCTGCTTGCAGGTTTCCACTCCTTGCAGAATTTCTAAATCTCTTCATGAATTTCTCACTAGCATGAAAAAATCTTCATATGGATACCATGCAAAAATCTTTATAGGGATAAAGCAGAAACAGATGGTGGAAGAGGGGGGTTCAAACATATTTCCCAAGAAATGGTCTATAAAGCATGGAAACGAGGTATAAAAGAACAGAATTATTCTCTATATTACCTTATTTCGGCATTCCTTCAACAAGCCTTCTACAAACTTCCAGTTTGTTTGTGCGATTACGGATGGAGAGAGGTTAGACAGTTTGGGCTGCCGAATGGTGCTGCCCAGATTCCTGGCTTCCTGGATATACTTCTGTATTGGGGTACAAAGTTGAGAAATACAGATAAAAATGCAGGTGAGACTACTTTGCCAAGAGAAAGGGTAAATGTATCATTATAAGCCACCCCCCTGCGCAACAAGGAGGAAAGGATCACATCCTCTTTCAGAAAAGGGCCCTTTTTACATCTAGCATTATATCTGGCTGAGACACTTAAGGTACTATTTCACTGGAGGTCAAATCCCTATTTATGTTGTCTATCTAGTATTAGAACACACATTGCTGAATAACAAAAACAATACAAACTGCCAAGGCTATTTAGATGCATAGAGAGTCAATTACTCCCTCCACCACTGAGAACTGTCTTGTTATTTTTTTCATGTAAAATGAAAGTTTGTAATAATTACCCAGACCAAGACTATTCAAAAGGCAGACTGATCTACACAGGGACTGCAAGAAAACTTTGCCCAGAGCTTGCCAACATCTGAGATCTCTGCTGTGCCCTGCATTCCTGCAGATCTCCTGTCTCTCACCCACCCTCCCAGTCTCTCAGGAAGCAGCTGCAAAATGCTAACAGCTCTCAGATGTGAAACATCTGCATTTGAGAGCTTTTCTGCTCCTGTTACTGCCATCAAGGAGTTGCCATTGTTTTCACCTCAGAGACAAGAATAATGACAAATGTTTTGCAAGCCAGGTGATCACAGATTGGTTGGGGCACAGCTAACTGAATAACTAATAAAGTCCTGTACAGGCACTGACAGAATACTCAGGATTAGTACACATTTGAGATTGACAGGTAACTTCTCTAGCTTACACTGAAATAATGACCAACTGAAAAGTCATTGAAGAGACAGATTTGTCAAACATGCTATGATCTCTGCAAAGAGGGGAAACCACAGCTTCTCCATCAGCCTTGCACTAAAGAGCTATGGTATATACATTTAACTATGCATCTTTAATCAATGTAATCTATGATTACAGACATATTATGCATTGGACATACCAGATAACGCTCTGACACAGATTTTATAGAGGGCATGAAGGGCCAATCATGCTGGTCCCAGTCTAAACACAACTGCAACTGAAGCTCTGACATGGAAAAGTCCAAGTGCTGGCAGGACAAGTTGATAGCAAAAAGCCAAGCAGACCATGTAAAGTGAAAGTGGTAAGCACATATGAAGTAACAAAAGCAAGCATGCAAAACAGAAAAGGAAAAGAGTGAATACATAAGAGAATGCAAAACTCCCAAGCATTCAACATAAAAATTAATTCATAAGTAATGAATCTGAAAGGAAAAAAAGAAAAGATGGTGTTCAGTCACTGGATTGGTGTAAACTCTGCCCTCCACTGGGCACACATATTTGCAAGTTAAAAGCCACTATGTTTAATTCCACATTTTTGTTGGCTGCCTCAAAGCTTCAATTTGTCTAAAACTCACAACACTGCACTTTGAAACCACTGCCTCCTGCTCAGCCTGATCCCCAGCATTCATCTCAGAAGGGCTCCCTACCCATTCTTTCAAACTTAATAGGAAAGTCTCTCATTCATTTTCCTGGGAGAGGGGATTAGCATTCCATCAGTATTATGTAATCAAAAAGGTACAGCATGAAACCCTAACACACCAGCACAGCTTAAACTGGCAGTTAATACCCTCACCTGAGCATGTATTTGTAATTTTTATTCCTCAGAAATTATTTGCCTCATGTGACAGAATAATTCCTATAGGATAATCAACTTGTGAAATTAGTTAAAAAACAGAAGAGATAAACAAAACCAGAAACTAAAAGGTAGATTTTTGCCTTTGTACATAACTGGTATCTCAGAAGTTTACATGTGCTAAAATAAACAATTGTTAAAAGCAATGCTGAGGTTACAAATCAACTACTCTTCACTTCTGTTACTTCCAAGTAAAAAGTACTTTAGAGTTATCTGAGTGTAGGGAACATGTCAAAGACAGAAACTACTCATAGTTTTTTTTTATTATGCAAACATTCTTCTATTACATGGTTATGGATGACATAGTTGACACTATACTTCAACAGAAGTTTAACAAACCAGTAAGAAAATTCTGGAAATGAGTACACTGAAAGGCAATTAAACTCATCGCTACCATAAAAGAATTAATTGGACAGACAAAGATATTTGATTTGACAACACTATCCTAACAGACACAAGACTACTTCAAAATTCTAAATGAAGCTTTTCTGAAGATATTTACAAAGGCAAAAGAATATTGTCTTCAGTGAACCACATACATTTAAACAAAAGTAAATCTCTGGTGTTACTAAAAAAAATTAATTGTGAAATTTTAAGCTAGACTATTCTTGGAAGTTACTTGTGCTTCAATGCCCAGTGTAACAGTTTTCAGTCTGTATCACACAAATCAGAAACTGTACTGTACATCACCCAGATTTTTCAAACACAAAGAATAACTGTGTCAGCTGTAGAAGCACTGGTGAGAGAAGTTATCAGTTCAGACGGTGGGTAAATCAGCATCAGACTGTGCTGTGTAAAAACAGGCAGACGCAAACCTGACGGGATGGGTGGGGTTCACATTCCCACCTTAGCGTGAGGTTGTGTGTCGATTTGCCACTCTAAGACTTCTTTTATGGTCTACAGAAGAAAAACAGGCAACTCCAAAAGGCAATGCTTCTGATTTCACAATGAAATTAATCATGTTCTGGAGGTGGTTATCTTTCCTCCTACCTTTCTTCCATCAAATATACAAAAGCAGGTCAGGGTGACTAAGTTATTTAGAGACATCATTTAGGAAATAGATGGCTAAAAACTGTTAAGATCAATTCCCCCCTTACCCCCTACTCCTCT